ATATATATATATATATATATATATATATATATACATATATATATATATATATATATATATATATATATATATATATATATATCATATATATATATATATATATATATATATATATATATATATATATATATATATATATATATATATATATATATATATATATATATATATATATATATATATATATATATATATATATATATATATATATATATATATATATATATATATATATATATTTATATATATATATATATATATATATATATATATATATATATATATATATATATATATATATATATATATATATATATATTCTCAAAGAAATAAAAGTAGCTTATGTAAAAAAAAAGTAGAACCATATAAATGATTTAGAACTACAGAATAAGGGGGCAACTTAAATAGCACACCCTGTACAAAATTATAATTTTGTCCTTTGGCTACAAAAATCATGGAAGTTCTTTGTATAAATAGTTGAAAAAAATTTTTTGAGGAAAATTAATATTTAGTGGGGTATCTTTTTGAGTGAATAACCGCTTGACAACGACGGCCCATTGAGGAGATCAAGTTTTGGCATCGTTCAGGCGTAATGGCGTCCCAAGCAGCTTTTATTTCGACCCAAATATGGTCTAAATTTCTATTGGATTTAGGTCTGGTGACTGTGCGGGCCACCCTAAAACGTCAATCTTATTAGCGGTAAGCCATACTTTATTACTTTTTGCGGTGTGCTTGGGGTCATTGTCTTGTTGGAATTTCTAAACTAGAAGGAGATTTTCTTGGGTATATGACAACATCACATTTTTCCAGTATTTGTAGATATGTTGATCCATCGTGCCTTGAATTCTATACAACGGGCCTACTCCACTCCATGAAAAACTACCTCAAACAATCACCTTGCCACCACCATGTTTAACGGCCTTTAAAGTATACTGAGGGCTGAGTTCTTGGTTCTGGGGACAACAAACATATTGCTTTCCATCGGATCCAAAGCGATTGAACTTAGACTCGTCAATCCAAAGCACATTTTTCCAAAAACGCAAGTTCTTCTGTACGTACTGTTTTGCAAATTTCAAACGGCTGACGAGATTACGTTTTGAGACCAATGGTTTTTTTCGAGAAACCCTTCCATTTTCGCGTAACCGACCTTTGAGTGTGCTGACCAAAGCCTGCCAACTCGACTAAAAATCCATATATTTATGTGTAATTGGCCGTACATTGAATTATGGGATGTCTTGCGGGACCATATTATAAACAACATATATTTACTATATATCTTTGTTGTCTGCTAAATTTATTATATACTATAATATTAGATTTCGTTTTTCAAGAATTTAGTTGCTTTTTCTATAAATATTCACAATACTAAATATGCAAGCCTTTTGCTGAGCCATCAGTTGTGTAAACAAGCGTGGAAAGAATGTTGGAAATAATGTATCTTTTTTTAGATTTCCAAAGGATGGAAATAGGTTAGTAATTTTTAGTCAAATCAAATTTATGACTAGTATTATTTATCATTACTAGTATATCAAGAATTTAAAGAAGCTTTTAAAACATTGTTTTACTTTAAATTTTATGAAACAAAAAATATTTATACATTAATGATGTAAATAAGTCCACTAAATTAATTAGGTTTAACCTATTATTTAGATGCAAGCTTTGGGTTCGTAATTGTCGTCGTCAAGATCTCGATACAAAATCATGTGAAGAACTTAAACTTAAATATACTATTTGTTGTGAACATTTTGATTCTTTCTTAATACTGTCTTGCCAATAATGGTAGTAAAAGAGCACTTGTTACTTCTGTACCAACAATTTTTAACTTTCCAAATCAACCTTCTACCTTTAATTAAAGAAAAAACAGCCTACAAACAGACTTCATTTACAAAAGAAAATACAAAAAAAAAAAGAAAACAACGATAAAGTTGAATTAAATTAAATAAATAGTGTTGAGAATAGCAGTGCAAATAATGTAACTGTCAAAACTACTTTTAAGAATAAATATTTATCATCTCAAGTTAAGATTTGTCAACAAGAGCTCTCAAGTGTTTAGGATTTTTATTATTAAAACAACAAATTTCACATCCCACTACAGGAGCAAAAGTTTATATAATATTTGATTCACCTCATCTTATAAAAATGTTAGAAACAATTTAATTAAACATGATATTTTATCTGATGGTAAAATTTTATATTGTATATTGTGGAAGCATCTGGAGGAACTAATTTAGACAAGGTTAATGATGTGCGACTTGTGCCAAAGTTGACAGATCGTCATTTAGATCCAGGATCACTATTATCCATGCTAGTAAAATTGGCAACGCAAATTTTTAGTAGTCAAGTTGCTACTGCTTTGACTGAATACGCTTCTGCTAAACTATTACCTGAAAATGTTTATCTTAAATTCTTGTAAACTAAAAGCAGATAAATCAACACGCTCTGCTTTAACTCTAAATAGTAGTTTTAAACAAAAGGTTAAAAATTTAAAAGTTTGGATTAAGGTTTGGCATTTTACTGGTGCTCGCAGCGAAAAAAGTATATCCAGTCATTGGGGTTTAGATGTCACTATTTTTAATAATCTTTGTCTTGCAAACAAGTTGCTTCATGAGGATTTTTTTTATGTTTGCACAGTTCAATTTAATCAGGACTGTTTATAATTTTTTTTTTTTTTTTTTGCATTAGTACGAAGCAAAGGAGGCTGGAATGACAGACCAACAGCAATGCATTTTAAATCAGCAATATTTAAATCAAAATTATTTAAAAACAAACAAAAACCTTACGCATTACAAAATGTTTCAACTGATTCAGTTTCACAGTCAATTAAACAGGTTTTGAAATTAATTGCAGATAATTTGATAAAGAAAGTTCAAGTCTGTCAAAAATGTGTACAAGTTCTTTCAAGTGACACCCTGTGAAATTAACTTATTTAATTCTGATTCTTTTTTACTAAACCTACTTCACGAAATGGAAACTGTTTTTATAATGCAAATGAAACTTATATTAACTAAAAAAAATATTATTCAACAAATTAATAAAATAATAAAAAACGATTGCAATTTTTCATTTCTTTATGATGAATATTTTGATCATGCTTTTCATTTAGAAGAAAGTTTAATCAGACACTATGTTTGTATGAGAATATCAAGACATATAAAAACAAGTTAGCTCGCATTATCCATGCTTGATTTTATTAATGATAATTTTTGAAACAAGATATTTATTGTTGTTGTTTTTTCTCTCAGTATTATCAACTATATATTTAGCATCTAATTAAGGGGTATATGTTTAAACTAATATGGGGTATATATTTAAACTAATATGAAACAAATACAGTGATAACATGATTAAAATAATTTATGCAAAACATGTTAAATTTACATCAAATTTCACACCTGCGTCAACATATTAATGATAGATTATATATAAATGTTATATTAGCAATATTATGAAATAGTTTTAAAATTATTTTAATTTATAGAAGAAAAGTTTTTTTATGGGAAGCCCTCTGGTAAGAATAATGCAAATAAATATTTCACTAAAAGTTGCCTTGTTTGTGATTACTTGGTCCCGCAAGACATCCCACAATGCTTTGCGGCTAAAATTACATATATTTATCGGGAGTTGGCAGGTATTGGTGCTGACAGACTGATTGAGTTTGAAATTTTGAGCAATTTGTTCTTTTATTTTTGGTGCGCCAGCAAAAGGATTCAGCTTAGCAATACGATGGCTGCGTCTTCTCTGGAGGTTGTTTGCGTTTTTTGTTGCTTAATGAAACAGTATTGTTAAATAATTTAATAGCACTGATAACTTTCTTACGAGAACAACCAAATCTTCGAGCTATTTCAGAATTGTTCAATCCTTGATCTCGATATGCCTGTACTTGTCCTCGAAATGCATCTGTTCCATGTTTACCACGTCCCATAATTGACAGAAAATTATTATTTTTTGCTAAAAATATACAAGAATATACTTAGAATATTAAATAGAATGATTATCTTTTGATATATAACAAAAATTTAGTTTTTTTATAATAAAATGCTAATATGTGCTATTTAAAATGTCCTCAAAAATGTAAGCACGACCACTATAATGCCTCAAATAAGCAATTTTTACAGTTATAAATATAAAATAAGTAACGCCGTTCAAAAATTTTTGATGCCATATATATAAAAAAAAGTTGCAATAAAAACAAAAATATTGGTACCAAAAAGAAAAACCAACTGGTTATGAAAGTGTGCTATTTATTTTGTCGCCACTGTACATATATATATATATATATATATATATATATATATATATATATATATATATATATATAATATATATATATATATATATATATATATATATATATATATATATATATATATATATACATATATATATAATATAAATCCAAAGGGTAAACAAACAATACCACTCCAAATCTTTTAAATCTGTTAACTGTTACAAACGTGATTCGTGGTTAAGAACAATGACTTTTAATTAAATTTTAATTCGGAAAATTTTGAAGTGAGATCAAGCTTACAAAGCTTGAAGAGTGTAAAATTGAGCTCATTTTCATGGAGAAAATGCCCCAGCAACCATGTTAAATATTTAGTATCTCCGTTGCTAAGGAAAAAAGATACATAGTGTGCTAATAAATTGCTCATATTTAATGAAAAATAAATTATTTAGCTCTGAAACTTTGGCTAAACGTTCTTTAATTAATTCGACACATATTTTGTGCAAAATTGAAAAACTCAAAAAAACTTTAAGTGTCCTAGTTATTTTGGTGCTCTACCACCTTAACTGAAATTAAAATAAAGTTATATATGTTATGCGAAAGTTTTAAAGTTACTTGAATTTCAATTTAATATATATTTTTTTATAACATTATATTTTTTTTACTTAAACATAAATTTTGGAAATTTTATCAGTAAAAAAAAAAATGTTAAACGGAGCGTTTTGAAATATTTAATGTAAGGAATGTAGTTAAATTTCATCAAATAAATTACTAAAACTATGAATAATAACAAAACTAATTTAAATTTAATAAAACAAATTTTAAATATTTTTTTTTTAAAAATGAATTGTAAAAAAAAAAATTATTTTATTCCACAAACGTTTAATATTCCACAATGAAAAAATGAATACACAACAAAAAAAATGAATAGTAAAAAAAAAAAACTATTTTATTCCACAAACGTTTAATATTCCACAAACTATAATATTCCACGAACGTTTTTTTACAACAATTAATTGCAGTTTAATGTTTTCCGCCTTATCTGTTTTAAATGACGCCTTATCTGTTTAAAATAAACTTTTGAACAACAGCAACTTAAAATAACAATTCCGTTAAAGCAAAATTAGTGCTAAAACTAACATCATATAACTTCAAATTGCCCTGTCTACACAGGGCCGGATTTAGGTGGGGGTGTCGGGTATTTGTAGCACCCCCCTACTTCAATTATTTAGTCAGTTTTAGTCGGCAAATTTGACATTTTGGATCCAGTCGGCAAATTTGACATTTTGGATCAACTTGGCAATTATTGCATAAAACATTTTGTCATGGGATAAAATAGATATAACTCAAATAATTTGATAATATAATTTTGTTAATCGACAAGTTTTCTTGTTTATAAAATTTGATACTTTTCGTCGTGTAGTTTGCATTTTGCTTATTATCTAAAACCTTAGATGTGGTTATAAACGAATTGTTAAATTGTTAACGAATTGTTAACCAATTAGTTGTGGTTATAAACGAATCAAACCGATTTATCTTATCAGTTGTGTTATCAGAAAGCATAGATAATATATTTTTTTAATTATCTGTCAGAAAGCCAGTTTTTATTTAAATTCTATTAATCTGCTGTGTTTATTGATTTATTGACTTCTCGTTTTAATATCTTAATAAGTGAATATGATTACTTATAGATGGATAAAAGTAAAAAAAGAAAAAGAACAAAAGTTGAGTGTTTAACTTGCGGTAGTGTATTTGATGATGTCTATAAGACGAGATATGAAATTAAAGAACATGCAGGTAAAAAAGTTTTGGTCAAGCATTTTGGAGCACCCGAAAATCCATTTACAGCTGCAGCTGCTATCGCCAAACAAAAGAATGACCGAGCACACAGTGAAAAAGTAAGATTTTAGTAATATTAATTAAATGTTTTTTCTTTATCAAAGTAAAATATACACTTCGATTCAAACTTGAATAGCTACCTATCTACATGGAATTTTTTTTTTTTTTTAAATTATGATTTATGAGTATTTGAATGGTTTTTTTACTTTCAGTATTGTTATAATGTTTTAATTGTTTAAATAAATTGTTGGTCTCATTAATATTATACATTTTGAATTAAGAATAAATTTGAATGTCATGAAATTGAAGAATGTACCAGTAATCATAAATCCCCTTCACTGACTTCGAATTCTATACAAATGAATAGTGCTAGTGAAGATGAACAAAATAAAACAAAATTGTTGGTATGTACCTACCTATATTAAGCTAACATTTACCTCTGTAAATATTATTGTATTTTTTTAACAAATGTTATCAAGATAAATAATTTAGTGGCTTCATAAATTTATCACTTGATTCTAGGATAAATCTACTGTAGAAATGAATTGTAAGAATAAAGATGAACGAAATATATTGGTATGTATTATATGATATTATTTTAAAATCTATTTAATGTATGATACTAAAAATCAACTCAAAGTCAATTTTAAATTTATTGTTCTATTACCTATACTAGTTTAATCATTTTTAGAATTAATCTCATTTATTTACAATGAATCTCATTTATTGATAAATTATGATGAGCATGGCAATAATAAAGAGACAGATTTAGGTAAGTTTTATTTTTATATATACGATTTTATATATGCGAATCGCGATTTGCTAACTCGAGAAAATTATCTGGTTTTCAAAATTTTAGTTTATTTAAAGCTGTGTACTTTGTTTTTAAGAAGCAAATTATTATAAGTCTAGAAAGTTTTTAAAAATAAAACAACAAACTTACGACTACAAAAGTAAATTTCTAGTTACTAACTGCATTATAAAAGTTGTAAAACTATAATAGTTTTATTACTTTTTTAAGCACTTATTGCTTTTAAGGTTCATAATAAATTTTATTGGTTAATTTTAAAATACACCGATTGAGCAATTTTAAAATACGTCATTTTTTGGAGGTCTGAACTCCAATAGGAGGGGTAAAAAAATACTTTTGCTACAATATTTACTTGAGAAAACGAAGTATAAACGTCTAACCAAAACTGCTAAAACAAATATTTACTATAAAACTAATTATGGAGTACAATATGATTTCAAAGATGAAAGTTGAAGAGTTAATAAAGCCATTTGAAATTATTAGGATTAAAAGTAAATGGTAAAAAAGAGCCAGTTGCTCGTGTATTTGCTGCAATAGAAAATGTTCTACCAATAAAAACAGCAAGTTAAGGCAGATTTAAAATAAGAATGTAATTTGAAACTGGAATTAGACGATATGCAGATACCTGATCCGTTCAAAATTCTTGATGGCTGGATGGACGAACAGGAGGGTATGCCATTCTGGTCAATGTTATTATATCCAGATATATTTAACTATTTAATGTTTAATCCCTCAGAACTCGGAAGTAATGACTTAAGTGACTATAAAAACTCAAAAGCATACAGCTACTATAAATCTTCCTGGCTTCAGCCTCTTATGTATCATAATTTAACAGGTAGTAATTACTGTATATTTAAATTAGAATGTCGGAGTTCACAATCTATCAATGATACATATCATAAACTGTGGCTAGTATTAGCAAAAAGTGCTAGAACTAAAGCCTGTCATTGTACATGCATGGCTGGCATGGGTCAAACTTGTAACCATGTTGCTGCAGCAATGTATAGAGTTGAAGCTGCTGTAAGAAATAGATTAACTAACCCTGCATGTACAAGCACGTCAAATGAATAGCTGCCATCAAGAAAAGAAGTAGCGCCTTCTAAAATCAAAGACCTTGACTTTAGACGTGAAGATTTTGGCGTTAGAAAAAGTTAGTAAAGAGAAAGTTAGTAGATACGCAAAAAAAAAAATATAATCCTCTATCGAATAATACAGTACAATTATTAAATATCAATGATGTAGCTTCTGCTCTTGAGAAAATCGTGCCAACAAGCATTTTGTTTACTGCTGTTCCAAAACCAAAAATAGACTTTATTCGTGAAGTTTTGACAACAGTTGATATGCCACCAGTTGATTTGCCAAGCATTGACAGTTTAATTTCTACCTCTTCGTGTTGTGTTAAGTTTTTTACAGGTTTAGAAGTAAACATGTCAACAGAAAATATAAAACAAATAGAATTAGTAACACGAGGACAAAATAATAATGAAAATTAATATCACTATCGAAAAAGTGCTATAACTGCCTCTAAAGCTCACGAGGTAGCAACGAGTATGGATAAAATTAAAAAAGTTGTTGTTGGCTACCATAACTTTTGGTCACTTCACATCCAAAAAATATCATGGCTGACATTTGCTAACTCTAATACTCCAGCCTTAAAATATGGGCGTACGATGGAAGTTGAAGCTGTGAATGCGTTTTATGTTAAAATGAAAGGACACCATAAAACTCTTGATTTAAATAAATGTGGACGAAACCTTGATTATGAACATCCTTACATTGGAGCAAGTCCAGACCGAATAATGTCATGTGATTGCTGTCCTAATGCATGTATTGAGGTGAAATGTTCTTACAAGATTAATTTTACTGCACCAACAGAATTAAATTTACCATATTTAATAAAAGAGGGTGTTGATATAAAACTAACCATACTTATTACGCCCAATGTATGATGCAAATGGCTATTACAAAGTGTAGTGTTACATACTTTGTTGTATGGACCCCACATGGCATAGTTGTAGATAAAATTGATTTTGATGTATCTTTGTGGAGTTTGATAAAAGAAAAGTTTATTAATTATTATCAAGATTACTATTTAAAATCTATTTTTAGCACCTAATTTAAATCTTTTCAAAAATTCTTTTATATTTAGGTTTTTAGCATATTTTTAAAAACTTAGTTTTTTGCTCTAATGCCACTAATTATTACCTTCCTCTAATTCTATTATGATTGTATGTAATATATTATTATATTTCTTAATGAAATTGATTTTGTAATGTTAGGACAAATTTATAATACTATGACGTTATATTGGTTGAGGATAAATTTATGTTGTAATGTTGGGGGATACAATTTAAATAAAAATCTTTACAAACCTTTTTCCTCCATTTGTTTAACCTATATGTACTATTAATACAATCATAATATATTCAAGTTAACTTTTACCATCTTTACATATAGTTTAAGTTCTTATGGTCTTTTTATAATTTATTAAATTTTATTAAGAAGATTTGGCTTTGATTTTGTAGTTTATTCTTATCAAGGTAATGTGATGTTTCTATTCTTACCTCTTCTGTGCAGTGCCGGATCAAGAGGGGGGGGGGGCTATAGCCCTGGGTCCCGTAAATTTGGAGGCCCCAAAAAATTGTAGAGGACCTTTTTTTTTTTAGTCATTGTTAGACTCTGGCCCATAAAAAAGACCTCCAAAAACAAATATAGCCCCAGGCCTCAAGAAGTCTTAATCCGCCACTGCTCCTGTGGGGACTCGACTTTTTTATTCTTTCATAAAATTTATATGGTCAAAAGGTAATAAGTAAAATACTGCTATTGTAGGTTCGTATTTTTACTTTTTGAAATTTTACATTTTGTTTCAAAAATTAACTTTTTCTTAATAGAAATAACAAAGTTTGAAAAAAATTAACGAATTTTGTAAGTGAAGGCATCTACCACCCAACACCCAAAGTTGAAGAACAGTTGAAGAAGTCAGGACCAGCGATAGGGGCGTAACAGTGATAGTGGAGAGGGCCTTGCGCAACCTCTCACTATTCATTTAAGTAGCTTTTGCCCCCTCCTTTACTTTTAAGATATTTTTCAGATTATTTTTACCCTGATGTCATACAATAAAAATAATATTCGTGAAATGAAACTCAAAATTTAGTCAAAGAACCTTGTTATTAGCCCCCTGAACTTTTTTAAATTAACAGAAACAAAGATTAACTTTATTTCTAACCTCTACAATAAGCAAACTGACTACTGCACCACGGCTGCTCCTAAAACTGCGGAGAAGGGAGGGCCGAAATTAGAATGCTTTCACCTTTCTTGCCCCACTTCTGCCTCCGCTGAGGAGAAACATCTTTCCCCACCCCAGTCTTGATTTTTAGTTGGCAAATATGGACATGGTATAACCTAGTCAGAAAATAAAAATTATCAATAAATCAATTTTTTTTAATCAGCAATATGCTTATGGAACCCCAAAAAAAAATCATTACTGTCTGAGCCAAAAAATTAATTTCCTTACTGCGAAAACAAGTGTCGTTGCTATAATTTATGCTGCCTGTAGCTGATTTTAAATTTGCAGGTCCAAAAAAAGGTACTAGATTTGTTTTGTATCCACTAAATACAGCGATAGAGATTAATGTGTAAATTATTCTCCCTCAGATTAACCAATCAACCTCTATTATATTTGAGTTCCTTTGTTTCCTCCTTTTTAAAATATTTTTTTCGTTCCTAAATTGCCTTTAAAAATATAGGAAAACTACAAGTTACATACCAAAAAAGTTCTAAAAAAAAGTAGAATCTTTTACGATTCTATAAAAATAGTTTTATAGTAAAAATAGTTAGAATCATAAAATACTTTATGCATTAGAAGGGGAGAAAACTTTAAAAAATATCACACCATATATCTTACAAATAACTAACTTTAACAATAAATGAGATAGAAATAAGATATTAATGTAAAGAATTAATAAATTTTAATAAAAAAAAGTTCTTGCAAAGTAAAGAACATTTATACATCATTGAGGAGATACATTAGGTACATTAGGAGAAGGTACATTAATAAGTATAATACAGGGGTGCACAGGTTATCGCAGAAAAAAATGAAAACAAAAATTTCGCGGCAAAAAATATGATATACAGTGAAAAACATTTTTGGCGGGAAAATGCAACACAGTTCAACAAGTTAACCCTTAAAAAATGCCGTTTTTCACTAATATAGTTGTAAAAAACGGCACGATTTGACAGCACGCAAAATAAAAATGCAAGAAAACTTGTTTTTAATCTATGGAAACGTGGTGTGAAAAAAATTAAAATTTGCAAAGCCGTGAAGGGACAGCTTCATAATTCCAACGTCAACAGACTCTTAAAAGACTTAGAAACTGGAAAAAATTACAAAAGAAAAAAAACAGGCCCAAATCGTTATGTGAGAACTAAAGAACTTCGAAATTCGATCGACTGCAAAGTTCGACGAAACCCAAACAGGTCAATTTCATCCTTAGCTAGAGAAGCAGGTGTGTCTCGAAGGACTATGCAACGTGTTGTCCACGATGATCTGGGTATGAAGAGCCTTGTCAAGTCAAAAAGACAACTTCTGAGTGAGGCAACTAGAGCCAAAAGCTCAAAAGAGTTACTAAATTGGTTCAAAGACCACAAAGATGTCCCTATCGTTTAAAGTGATGAAAAAATTTTCACAGTTGAACCAGAACCCAACAGATACAATGACAGAGTTCTTGGTAAGTCCAGAAGAACAGTTCCTTTGGAACTGAGGACTATTCCAAAGAGACAGCACTCTGTGGGTGTCATGGTTTGGGCAGGTGTGTGCTCTGATGGGTCAAAAACTCCGCTTGTTTTTGTTCCTGAAGGTGTAAAAGTCAACCAGGTGACCTATGTCGACTTCATCAAAGCTCACCTCATTCCTTCGGCCAAAAAGAAGTTTGGGGACGATCCATGGGCCTGTATGCAGGATAGTGCACCAGCACACAGTGCAAAGAAAACTGTCAGCTTCTTGAAAGAAAATG